GTGGTGGGCTTGGCAGTGCTGGGTTAACGGTTGGACTCGACGATCTTAAAGGTCTTTTCTAACCATGACGATTCTATGATTCTATGAATGCATCTGTGGAGTCTCACTGTGAAACAGAGCAGGACACTGAACAGGGTTAAATTCAAATTTGGCAGAAAAGCATGATTTTAAACCTCATGGTTTTCCCAATCTTATGCTGAAGTGCTCATGAAAATACAGTGGCAGAAAAAGACATGGGGCCAGTGTGGTACAGCCCCACACTTGCAAACACAACGCAGGCAGTTCTTTCAGTCGGTGGAATTTTGCCTGCAGAGCTACTCAAACCTGCACAGCATCAGCGTCAGGAACACAGCCAAGACATACCCACCTGTAGAAACAGGCCTTAGCAGGTGTGCAGAAATTCCAAACATTGCCTACAAATCTCTAAGTTCCTTTAATTTTGCTGTACTTTTGCTTTTTTTAATTAATATTTTCTTCTAAGAACAAGCACTCTTGCCATACAAAAAAAAATCAGCGTAGCAGTTAGTGTCGAAGTAAACCACCCACGCCTCCCCATAGGCCTGGCTATGGGCAATGTGGCATAATCAGTTTTTGGCACAGCATGCATAATTTTTGAAAGATCCTGATGTGAACAATTTTATGTGCAACAGCGTTGGGAATACTAGATCATAAGAAAAATCCAAACGTGTGAAATTAGAATGCTACATGAATGTTATGGTTATTCCAATTTTAAGTTTAAAGTACAAACTTGAAATCAAAGTAGTAAGAAAACATTCAAGCTTTCAAGAGAATATCCCAACAAGCATACAAAACACATAGGGATGAAGAATTCAAGACTGCCTTTTATGAAGATGTAACCAGCTTTGTGGGCAAGAGAAGCGCAGTGGATGTTGATTACCTTGACTTTAGCAAGGCTTCTGACACAACCTCATCACTAAACTTGTGAGATATGGTTTGAATAAGTGGACAAAAAGGGTGGGTGGAAAACTGGCCGGACCACCATGATTAAAGTGTTTTGAGGCCTGGTATGAGGTCCTGCCAGTGGCCAGCTGCTAGGAGTGTTTCTCAGAGCTTTTTAGTGTTTAACATTTTTATTACTGACCTTGACTACGGTACAGAGCGTGTGTTCAGTAATTCTGCAGGTGACAGCAGGTGAGGGGGAGCAGGTGACATGCTTGAGGGCAGGGCTGCTGTCCACAGGGTCCTCAACGGGATGACAGACACTCACGACAGAAAAATGAGACAGCAGTGTGCCCTTGTGGCAACAAAGACGATGGCACCTGGGCGCCATTAGCAAGACAGTAGCCAGCAGGGCAAGGGAAGCGATTATTCTCCTCTCTTCATCCTCTGTGAGACCACACCTGGAGTGCTTAGTCTAGTTTTGGGGGCCCAGTACAAGAAATATCTCAGATTGGATCAAGTCCAGCAGAGACGGCCAAAAGTGTCACAGGGCTGGAGCACAAGGATGTACAAGGGAAGGCCAAGGGAACTCTGCTCAGTCTTAAGAAGAGGGGGACCTCATTACCAGCTTTATCTAACGTAAGAGCAAAGGGAAGACAGAGCCAGGCTTCCTGGAGGTACACGGACGCCAGAGTCAATAGGCACAACATGTAACAAGGGAAATTTTTATTAGATATTAGAAGAATTTTTTTCACCATGAGGGTGATCAAATGCTGAACCACGGGCCCAGAAAAGCTGTGGGATTCCAACCCTGGAGATCCCGAAGGCTTGACTTGTCAAGGCTCTGAGCCACCTGGTCTACACAGGCCCTGGGTTGGACCAGAGAGCTTCACAGGTCCAAACTGAACTGATCTATGGTACTAGTGATGGCCCTCAAAGCAGGCAACATTTGCCAACAAATGGTCTAGAACAGACGTATTTTTAAAAAAATATTTTATACTGAAAGGCTCTTTGGTCTGATTTACTGAAGAATTACACCCCTTTTTCTCTGTACGTGTTTTCTGATTCACCAGAATTGAAGCTGTAGGAAGACTGAGTAAGGACAAGATTGGTAGCAATGGGAAACCAAACGCACCCCCCCACTCACACATGCTCTCAGGTTAGCAATATGGAAGATTGTTCTCTTCCGCGTTGCAGGGCAGCAAGTCTTTGCTGGTGCGATCTACCTGATGAGTAAGGACTGCCGCAGGACAGCGACTGCTCCAAGGCGATTCCACTGTAAAGACAACACACACCATTCACCTCCCTTCCCTTCGGTGAATGCCAGTGGGAACATATGCTCTCTTGGGGAGACTATCAGTGCCTTTCAGAGAAGTCAAGGATGACTTCAGAAAATATTAATAAAAGTCACGTACAAGAAATCACTGTCAGTGCTGACAAAACAGATCAGGACACATCGCATCTTTGCTTTTTGTGAAACAATTACGGTGAAGCTTTGATGTCGTTGAACCTTGACTATTTGGTTTAGCTATAAGAACGAGGCCAACAATCACTGAAGTTTAAAAACTGAGCATCAGTGCCGACTGCAGCTTCTGCCGTGTCAGACGTGGTCAGAGTTACTGCTAGTGCTTTGTTTCTCCCTAGAAGAATTCAACAGGTGGAGTGATGTGTCATGTTGTGACCTCTCATACTCAGTGGAGTCATTAGAAGGTGTTTTCAGCATGCCAGTGACATCCAATTATAATTTCTCCTCTAACTGATTAGAAAGTTCAGCGTCACCACCTATGACTAGTTAAGACAGATGAGAGAAAGCTGGCTGGAAATCAATCCAGATAACGCCTGAAACTTTGAGCTGGGAGGCAGCTGAATGAGGTAACAGGCAGTCCCAGTCCTCTGAGTGCGAGAGCATTCCCTACAATGCATCACGACTGAGCTGACATTTAGCTGTTAAATTAGAAACAGCGAAAGCCAACCGTTTATCGCGTATTATCAATTAATAGCTGTATCCTGGCCTTTCCGATGCAGATCTTCCAGCGTTTTCCAAGACTGTTTGCAGACTCTCTGCAGCGCTGCAATGTGCTGTACACAGGACTGCTCGGAAGCGCTTGGGGAGGGAGCTGGTGTGCCACGATGGCAGATGGCAGCACGACTGCCGAGCAGAGCGCGCCACCGAGCACGCAGCACCACACACCCCGCCTATGCTGGGTGGCCATCGCCAGAGCTAAGCACAACATGCCACGATGACTGTGACGTAAGAAGCCACAGTTTTGGGGCCTGCCCCTTGAAGGGACACCCTCTCTGTTCGCTACACAGTGGAGAGCAGAGGTAGGGGGGCTGGGCTGTCTCATTCCCCTGAGGGACAGTAGGCAGACATATTTCCGTAAAAGTTCTGTAAAAACTTGCTTGTGAAAGCAAGCATTTCATACTCTGCTTTGCTTATTATTTTCGGCACCTACTTCGGCAGAGTTTGAGGGAGAAGACTGAAGACTCGCTTGGTGACTCACAAATTTGCTCTGTAAATTATTCTAAGGGTGCTAGATGTTGATTTAGCATCTACAACTTTGAAGGCTCTTGGGAACCTAAACAGACTTCTGGTATCATACACAACTTCACAAAAGGAACTTAAGTCACAAATACTTCAAGTGCCTGATTTGGTGGTGGGGAGGGGAGTCCTCAATCAGGAGAGCAATTCTAAATTTTTTAACCATTTCTTTGCCTCTTGACTTCCTTCAGCTCTCTCTACCTGAACTCTCCCCAAAGTTCTCTCTCTCTGCAGTACTTGACCCTACCTTGGGAACACGGACTCTCAAAGAAGTCAAGAATGCCATTGTTCTGTGATGAAGTGGAGAAGCTTATCGTAGCTCTGAAAGTCTATTTACAATTTTCCATTAATACACTTTCCTAGCAAGGAGTACCACTACAATGTCCCTATTCTCTTCCTTGATTAGTCTAGTTATTCAGGAAACTCTGGCAGCTTAGCAACAGATTCTGATGACCTAGAAAACTTCAACACACTATAAAGCAATATGTGTGGAGCACAGAAGAGCTACACTGAGGAAAAAATAGTGTGGTGAACAACTGAAGTCTTCAGGTACTGTCAACAGATCTACCCCTACACACGTTTTCTTGTGTGGGCCTTTCATTACAAAGGCCTATCTGCTATCCATACCTGTTAGCAAACAAAATTCTCATCTCCCAAATCATTTTCACCCATGTTTGTTTGACTGCCCTCCTCTTATCCTTTAATTCTTAGGAAGTTTTTAATTAAAGCTTTTATGGAAAACAAACCAAAAAGCCTCAAAACACAACCACCTTAAAACATGCAATACATTCCCACATCAGTTTTATGGGACGCATTTAATGGCCATACATGATACAAAATTATTTCCAATTCCTATTACACTCTGGAATAGTTCTAATATCACTCTCGCTGACTTTGCTCCCTGACATATATAGTTCTTGTATTTAATGTCTTTTTGTAAAAAATTGATGCTTGAATCCATTAAACCAAAAATGATTTATGGGTGGGCTTTTCTCCTGGTTAGGGAAACACTAACTGTTTTTAAACAACTGCTGTGGAAAAGATTAAGAATTACAGCGTACCAGTGGGAGACATTCTGAAACAAAATTAAATACACATTATCCATTTCCCAATGGCTAACTTAGCCCCAGGCAAACACTCCCCCACTTTTTGTTTCAGCTGACCAGACAGAACTACAGCACTCATTATTTCTTAAATATTCAACTGGGCATTAAATACTTGTGCACGCTTACAGCCAGCCAAACATAAACACCTTACCTGTTCATGTCTCATCAGTTCTATCATTTCCATAACACTGATAAAATGGTAGCAACGATCTGAGTGATCAACCATGGATGTCGGAAAAGCACGATTCTGCCAAATTCTCCATTCGGACAAGGAAAGTTCACGAGTTGCCTTCTCTTCATGCTTCTGCAGTTTGAAATTAAGATTGGCAAGGAGATTTTAATCAAGAAATTGTTTACCAAAACTAACGTCTACTTTTCTGTCAGGGACAATAAATACTCTGAACATAGAAAAGTATCTGAACATTATGACAAAAGTTTAAGCCTGGTCTAAAATAAAAACAAATCCATGCTTTCTGTTGTCACAACTTTTCATGGAAGACAGGTTGTTTTAAGTGGTGAAATGACATAAAAGCTCCTATTTTTTTCTTCGAATCAAAAAAGATCTTGTAAAACTTGAGGTTTTCTTTCAGTAACACTTCTATAGTTATATAAACAGGGGAAGGAAAAAGCAGGATACAATACCTACATGAATACAGCATCCTGCATGGAATTCTTAGAAAAAGGAACAGAACTTATTGGATACTGAAAGACTTCTAAATGTATTTTTAATTTACAGACCTAACCTCAAAGACCCATTTCAAGCATCTAATTCCTAAATTCTTATCCTCAAAAACCTACATATAATTCTCAAAATTGCATTTTTAATATAGACCTCCTTCAAATTCATAGTTGACTTTGTTACTTAGGGTATCCTTTAGGCCTCATGTCAAAGGAAGCATTACATTTAGGTTAAACTCACTGATACTTCTTCCAGGTTTTCTAAGGTTTCAAACTGAATTTGAGGCAATATTGGTTCCTTTACTCCATCACTTTCCTTAATCCTGTAAAGTCTGTCCCATATTTCAAATTCCTCAGGCGACAGAGACCAATTCTCATGACAGTGTATTTGCTTTTGGCCTATGGGGGGAAAAACAATAACAGGAAAATGTTACTTACTTGAAGAAAAAGGATACACAGAATAAAAAGAACTTTGTACGATACCAGTCAAAAGAAAAAATACCTTCTCTGTGCCACAAGCAAAACCAGATACAGAGAATCTGATGTCAGAAACAAGTATCAAAACGGTGTTGTCTGTGTTATAATTATGGATAAATCTATCCATTAAACGATTGTTTTGGGGGCAGACATCATATAAACAAAGATATAGCTAGACAGACAGATATAAATAGAGGCCCTGAAGACAGTATAGCAAATAGGGAAAGCATATGGCTTAAATTTCTAAACGTATGTCTCAGAGGAAGAAACTGCAAATAAGTAAAAGCTTTTTTTTTTTTTTTTCCCCTTTCATTTTTTTTTCCAAGTTACTCTTTAAATACTGGCAAGCAACATTAATTTCTTATGACAAAAATATTTGTTAGTCATTTTTTGAATCGATCTCCTCTATTAAGGACATGCAGATAAGTAAGAGGACAGGAACAAAAGTACTATGAAAACTCCCCAGGAGCGGGGAAAGAAAAAAGAGGCTCATGAGTTTTATTTAGACTCCTAAGTGCAAGTGGGAAGCATAGGGCACCTGTGAGCACCAATGCGAGATAAAAACAAAACACGTGCTCATATGGCAGCTTACTGAAGACAACGCCCTGGTGCTGCTTGGCTCTGAGCGAGTACGCTCCAGTGACCAAGAGGAAATGGAGTCATTTTTGGCAGTCTGACAGCAAGCCTTGATACCACCGCTACCCAAAACAATGCCAAATCCCTCAAAACAGCCATCAGTGTGAACAGCAAAGGAGCATCCAAAGAATCAGTGTTAAGAGCGTGTTAAGAATGTGATTGCTTTCAGCCCAGATGTACGAAGCTTGGAGAAAAATAATTAAGTTAATTTGACAATCACTCTGCAGACTGGATTTGGGATGAATCTGCAGCCAACACCCTATTCTGAATTAATGCCACGTAAGAGGAATCAGCCTGCACCTCTCAATCCTCTCAAATTACAATCGCCAGAGACTCTGTCTCCGCAGGATGGTGCGACAATGTTTGCCAGAGACTCAAAAACAGATCCCTGAGAGTCCAGAGTACTAGGTTCAAGTCCCGTTCGGAAAAAGTCTTTCACAGCTGGAGAAAACTAACCAACACTGAATTTTAAGGCCATTGTTAAAAAAAAATCCAGAAGATCAATATTGCTACTAAAATATTTTTGACTCAACTCTAAGAGATGTTACGCTCCTTTATAGCTAACACAGTCCAAGGACCCAGTAGAAAAAAAAGAGAAACCTGAAGGAAAAGAAAATTAAGAACACTTATCAGAAAAGCATACCGCACAGCCTTTCCTGTTGTTTATAAGAACAGCTCAGTATTAGGTCTGCTCTAGCGGTTAATACCCAGCAGCCACACATCAAGACAGAACATGCCCATCTTGGATTAGCAGGGAGTTCTGGACAGTGTTGCCTGGACGAGGCAGAAAGGAAAGGCCAGAAAGAGTCCTCAGTTGTAAGCAAAACCTAGTGCCCTTGGTCCGTCCAAAATGACCTCTACTGCCTCACTTAAGACTTATCTTCATAAGCAAGAAGCAAAAAGATGGCCTACCAAGGAACCAAGAATGCATCTTCAAACAGCAAGTTGTTCGCAAAAAGCAGGCACCAGCAAAAAACTTTGTAGACAAACAGATCTAATTTGGGTTCCCTCGTGCTCTTCAAGACGGTTGTCCAGACAGCGTAACCTTCCCGAACACCTCAGGTGATGAACTACTGTCATCCAGACACATCCAGGGAAACAGCGAGAACAACGGATGACTTGAGTTCTCTGTGTTACAGCTCCAGAGGACAACTCCTTTGACAAAGACAAGAGGATCCTACGATACCATCTGCCTAAGTAATACATGGTTCAACATCACACAGGCACGAAGGCCTCCAGCAGCTGGCAAAAGGTAACAGATACATCCCGAAGCTCTGGGGTCAATAACAGAGGTCCTAAGCTTCTGTTTCTGAGCAGAATAAATACTTTGGGCTGTCAAGACCATGGACTCCGTACATGAGGAAGCACAACACATCTCCCTGCGAGAGGCCAATGGAAGGGAATCCCCTTGGCTGGTAAAGCAGAAGAGCAATATGGTCCAGCAGGCAGCAGGTGAATGCCCAAATTACAGGCTGCTCAGCGGCTCCCTTCACCAGAAACAATAATTTCCGCAGTGCGGGGAAAGGTCTGACCATCTCACCCAAATGCACGGTTATCTCTGGCTAAGGGAGGAGAGCAGGAGCTGAAGTCTGCTTTCAAACTCTTTTTCAGTGATACAACCTAGTTGCTGTTACACAGGGAGGGAAACCAAAGCAGATCTCACACTGAAGGAAAATTACCTTAAAGCAAACAATTCTGCAAGTTCTCACTTCTACTGTTTAATATTTTAACCCTCTCCATTGCTGTTGTGCTCATCTTAGCCGACGAAACACACCCTAAGCGCTGACAGGACTGACGTTTCACCTCAAGCGAAACCTAACTAAGATGGAAAGAAACAGGGACACAGACAAATATGACTGCTGCCAGCGTAGAAGTAAAATACAGTTTCAGACTTAAGGGCTAGCAAAGACAAAACAAAAAACAAACAAACAAAAAACCCACCTTATATTTTCAGTGTTCACAAACTACAAATTCAAGACCCCATTCTTAACAGAAGGAAAAAGAGAGTTCTGCAGAGCACTCTGAAATAATAGTTTGCTAAAATACAGGCAAGCTGCCCAGGGAAATAGCCATGTATTTGTACTGATCGGGAATCATTAAGGCTGAATAGAATACTATCAGTTCTGCAAATTATGAAGTGCTTCATTTTTACACAAAGGCACAATTCAGAGATTACTAAAACTCACTGTGGGGATGAAGAAGAGTTCTCAAAGCTAAAAGCAAACTTAAGAAAAAGATCCAAAGAAATTTCAAAAATACATTGACTAGATTAACAGAAATATATAATGAACAATAACATATACACTAGTACATGTTCAATTTATAGCTTAGACTGTTATAGATAATATTAGAGCAAAGGTAGGAAGTTTACATTCTGGTGGACAGACTCACTTAGGGAATGTAAAACACCACCAGCCACACACATCTCATTAATATCCTACAGGTAAGCTCTAGCTTTTTACGGTGTTTCGTAGAAAGCTAACCTGTATACTACTGAGTAATTGCAAAGTACCAGCAGCTCTTCTTTAGCTCTTACAGAAGAAAATTCCCATCCTCCTTGAGAATGATTAGGCTGCTTGGATACATAGTTGAGAATTTAGTAGGGCTTGTAGCAATAGGACAAGGGGTAACAGTTTTAAACCTAAAGAGGGGAGATTTAGACTAGATATAAGGAAGAAGTATTTTACGACGAGGGTGGTGAAACACTGGCCCAGGTTGCCCAGAGCGGTGGTCGATGCCCCATCCCTGGAAACATTCAAGGCCAGGCTGGATGGGGCTCTGCAACCCCTGATCTGGTAGGAGATGTCTGTCCATGGCAGAGGGGGTGCCATCCCTGGAAACATTCAAGGCCAGGCTGGATGGGGCTCTGAGCAACCTGATCTGGTCGAAGATGTCCCTGTCCATGGCAGGGGGTGGGAATGGGTGATCTTTGAAGGTCCCTTCCCACCCAAACCACTCCATGATTCAATGATTACCATGTCCTGTTGAATTTAGTAATTGGCAACAGCGTCTCCCATTCACGTGAAGTAGAACACGCTCATTTTAAGGGTAATTATCTTTAAGAACATTTTATGAGTTACAAATGCGATGTACTACCAAAGACAAACATACCACTAAAATCATTAATGCTATTTTCCATGTTTTCCTCCAGAACCAAAATATTTTCCTTTCCCTTGAACTGGGAGGAGAGCAAGAAGTAGCGCGGAGGGGGAGCAGAGGGTGGATTTAGCCTGTAGCTAGCAGGGAATTTGTCAGTTCTCAGAGGAATAACCCCTGTTTAAGGGCAAGAAAGAAGGAACTGGAAGCACCGTATTGACCAGGACAGTACAGCCAGCCACCACTGTCATAACTGTCCCTCTTCTCACCATGAAGCAAGCTGCTGGTGCAAAAGAAATTTTCAACCGTCCAAAGGCTCTGCTGGTTTACCTACGAAGTTATGTGCTACCGACGCAGACTAACACTACCTTTACTGGAGGTGTGTGAATGTGGGCAGGGAAGAACGACGGGTAAAGCAACGAGCAATATTGCTGCTGAGGCCACTTTTGGCCGGACTGAAATGGATATTCATGCTCCCATACACAGCACAAGCGGCTTGTTTGGGGAAGGCATCGCTACAGAAGAAAATGTAATTGGTGTTTTGGAGAAGCCATGTCATCGGCTGAAAAAAATAATTCAAAATAAGTGTAGCTGAAATAAGTTAAAAAAACCCACCACCTTATTAGGAAAGTTTTGTGTAGCTATCATCCTGAAAACAATGAAAGGTGTAACCCAAGAAAGGCAAAGGTAAAACACCCTTTAAAAAAAAAATAAAAAATAAATATACACAAGGAAGCAGGCAGGCGACTGAATTTTCAGAAGCAAAAGGCCAGACGTTGTCTGAATCAGATGAAGACGGTTCTCTACTGAGAAAAGCAGGACAAGACGAAGCTGGTACAAGGCAGATGTAAAGTGTGTTATTCTCAGCGCAGCACACAAAGCACTGTGCCTTACAACTACACGGGTATTGTCAGGACAAGAAATCTGAATTTAAGGAACTGAAGTACATATGCATAAACACATCCTTGATTAACTGGCTTTTTTCAAAGAAAATAAACATTGAAAACAGCAGTCTTCTGCAGTATTTCCATAGTTTGCTGAGAACCACTCAAGAAGGCAATGTGCATTATCATGCATGTTTAATTCAAATAGGAGATGAGCTCAGAAGACTTATCAGCCATCCAAAGGCCTTGCCACAACTATACGGCAGGGGCAACTGGAAAGGTATAAAAAACCCACAAAGGTCTAAAGACTACAGAGTATTTTAGAAAAAGAGAGTAAAAGAAAGTTGCATCGTTAGGATAAAAACAGCAATTAAAGAAATAATGTGAAATTGTAAAATCAAACAAAACCACAGCTACAGACAACTCCAAACTGATACAGTCTGAAAAGGGGGGAGTAGAGTAATTGTGAAGAACCAGGAGAAGAAGAATTAACAAAATGAGATTTCATCTAGACAAATGCAATGCAAAAAGAAAAACGAAAGAAATTATTGATAGCTTGAAATGACATTCAGCTACCAGGAACAACCGGGTACGGGAAGAGCACATTTTAATGCACGTTCGCTATTTTTTGCCATGCCTGTTGTGGTTCCACACCTCTCACAGAGTGGGGAGACTGGCAGAGAACTTGCAAAGACAGTCGTGGTAGAGATGATTATCCAGATCTTTCAGCAATTTCCCCATTTCAATTATCTTATTGGATAGCTATTCTCATTTTATAAAGTAAAAAAAGATGAGCATAAAAAACACGAGCTGTCTCCAAAGATATCTGTTCAGAGATTTTTCCTCCACTGAGTCCAAGCCACTTTAAGTGCAAAACTTTTCTTTATGAAATGCTTTTTGATTTTACTGCCCTTACTAATATGCTACTCAGTTTTAGTAAACTCTTTTAAAAAACACCAAAAAAAAAAAAATCAAAAACAAGAGAGAGAAAATAATCTCAAATTGGAAGAAACAATATAAGAGGACTGCCGAGTAATGGGATTTTTGCTCTTGTTGCTGTACTTTTTGAAGAAAAGCTCGTACAACTGAAGAACACACTGCGTTAGTGATGGGGCAAGACAAGAATAATGTATCCTTCTGGTACTGACAAACAGTTAAAATTTGTGAAAGCGTTTTTGAAGTGGAAGGATAGTGTAAAATTAATAGAAATTGAATCGAATTAAGAAGAACAGGAAATACTTAATTTTGACTAGAAAAGGAGGAGAATGCTTGAAATCACTACGATACTTCTGCCCATGATACTTCCATTTCTGTGCACATGTATTCTTCCGTGGACAAACCTGAAGATCAACTGAAACTCAAGAATAAATGAAAAGTAAAAGGGCATAAATAAGAACATACACAGCTTATTTATTACTGCTAGCTTTTTCAATTTTCTGAAGTGGAAGGGGGCACTGAAATAAGGAGAGGAGAAAATGCAAAAAATAAAGACCTTTCTTTCTCTTCTTTTTGAGATTTATCTTGAATATCATTAAAATCACAAACAGCCACTTGCTGCATACAGTAATGAAGGGGACTTCAACACAAAGCTGGTGCTCAATAACGTGCACTCATGTAACACTTGTTTGCAAGACGGGCAGTCAATCCTGTTCATCTTCGGCAAGGGACAGACCTCCACGCACACTGTGTACTTCAATTGTGGCAGCTGCTAACCTATTTCACACAAAAGGAACCTGGTAATTACAGCCTTTGAAGTGCTATTCCCTCAGCAGGA